AGATACTCGGCCGAGGTCAAACTTGTTTTTAACTTGCACAGGATAAGCTACTACTAACCATGCTAACCGCAAACAGAACATTTTATTCGTCCTCAATAGTTTTATGTTAGTTCACTTTTACCCGCAATGTTTTTCCCCATTAATTGTCATCTTTAATTTAAACAATATTACTTACATTATTTGATTTTAATCAAAATGGAATTTGATTTGAATAGAAATTTATAATAAAACAAAGATTTAGTAGATACTGTACACTAACACGGAGAATTTTGCAACTGTAAATTAGTCGAAAGTTCGTTTCAATCGTCTTATGCCCAGTTCGAGAAGAGAATATAATGACTAGAACAGCTTAGAAAGAAGAGAATCCTAATCGAACGCAAAAGTTTCAAAAAGGCATTTGTCATATTTTATTTAATATTTTTCTTGAAAAGCTGTTAGAAACATCTAGAAAAAAAGTGTTGTGCTTTTATATTTGAGGCACGACGCGAGAAAACCGGTCTTAATGACATTTTTTTTTCGAAATTTGGTTTTTTACTTATTATTGTAGAGAATTTCTTTTTGAATATGACGGTGAAAACCGTTTTCAAATCGAAGGGTTAGTTATTGAGATATACCAATTTAAAGAACGTTATATATTTGATCATTTTGTTAACAAATGACGTCGAAAAATTGAATTGACGTTTAACGTTAATTGGAAAATTAAAACGGCAATTATATCTAAATCTTAACTTCACTCAATTAGTGTGTTTAAGCTATAAAAAGGTAATTAATTAGGTTATGTAAACTATAGACTTCCCGCTTTTTGCGAATTTAAGCTTTGCTTAGCAACGTTATAACAACACCCATTGGCGAGTCATACATGGCGCAAATAATTGTTGTTTTTTTTCAATCATTACGAAACTATATACCATTAATTTGGACAAAATTATTCATCATCTTTACACTATATACTGCTTGAAAAGCAAATATTGCAGACTACGATCAGAAGGCACAGGTGTGTTGGTGGGTTTTAGTACGCCCGGGTCGCATAGATTGAAATCAGACAAATTTTTAAGTATATACCAACAGAAAATAAATTAGCAACAGTATATAAGTCTACGTTTAACGCGTTAATGCTTATAAAAAAACATAGACAGTTAAATAAAAAGTTCTATTTTTCTTTAAGACAGAAACAATGGCTGTATTTTTTAACAACAAACAACAGTTCTGGATACTTCAAATCAGCACTTAGCTGGTATAACAGTGCACCTTAATGACTGATAACATGATTAACTGTCTTGACTGCCGAACACACGCACACTTCGCGACACTGGTGACATTCCCACGGGCGTAATAACGCTTGGACGAACACATGAACTGAACCGGAATCCGTGTTTTTTCAAGACTTGAATCTAATATTCCTCGCATTCAGGTGTTATTTTGGCCATAACCACACCCGGTGTATTCGACTGGAACCGGAAGTGCAGGAATTTCTATCAATAGAAAAAAATGATAAATATCCGTAATGAAAAATGCCGCAAACTGATTTCCTAATATGCTTTAATGAATAAAAAAAAAACATTATTCAGAGCACATTTACAACTCGTTGAGTTAAAAGAACGGAAGAGCTTGGACAATTTTTAGAGCATGACAGTAAACTTGGTCACATGACTGAATTTATAAACTGTAAATGTAAGTGTGTAAATTTGTGTTTTTGTAAATTAAGACCATTCGTACATATAAACCTAATTAAACCAGAAAAAATGTTACAGAATTTATCTCACATTAAAATGTATTAGCTGGATATATGTTGCTAATTCCCTCTGCATAATATTTTGTTCCGGAACATTTTATGCTGATCACGAACAATATACATGTGGAGACATTCTATGTAACAACAATTTCTATTAATATGTGATAACAGAACCATTTCCTTATGTTTTTTCTTAATTTTATAAAGTATTTTAACAGATATAGCTTATTACTCTTTAAGGACCATTTATACAGTATCTACATTTTCTTCATGATATAAAGTTAAAGTAAATCAAAGAAGAAAATAAAGCTACTTGTAAACGATTAAAAAAAATAACCCTTAAATTTTCATGTTTAAGATATTTTCTGAGTCTTGAGTTCTGAGTTTCAACATTTTCATTTAAATATGATAAACATAGGTTACCTTATACCAATAATTGGTTTGAAAAATCCCTCTAGAACGGGTTTCCATTGTCGCCATGGCAACTTGGGGTAACTAACATACAGGCTGTTGGTTGTAGATGTAACTCTGTAACATGGGCCAGCTGTTGAAGTGTTTCTAAATCATGCCACCGGACACCGGAATTTAATCTTAAGATGTGCAAGTCCCGCACAATCTAAACACCGCGTATGTCCTTAAAAGAAAATTTAAATCATGTTGTAAAATTGAAAAGCCTAAACTACATGCTGCGATTTGAAGTGCTTTTTTAACAATACTACAGTGTTCATGATACATATCTCTTGTCTTTGGGAAAACAGATAAGAGTGTCAAAATTAGTTCAGATTGCCTAATAAATAGAAGTAAGTAAAATCTAGTAATGAAGATTTCTTGAATCAGTACCTGGTACTTGCATACGGTACTCGAACTTTTCCTTATGCCCTGTCTTATCGCCCCGCATAAAATAATAAATAACGTAACCACCAGTGTAACTGTTTATTTTGCCCTAAAATATAACGCATGATTGTTAAAATATAGTCCAATAAGTAATTCATTACACAATCAATACTCAAATAAAGTCTTTAACTTTATAGAAAATGGTAAGACCAAGTTAAAAGACTGATATTTTAACTGTGTACAGACTTGGTAAAATGATAGTAAAATCCCTAAAATGTTAAAGCACTGGTTTTTATTTGCTTTCAAACCAAGCATACTGGTGGACCAGTACTGGTATTTGTACCGATACTATATGAGTTGACAAGTAGTGGTTGTAGTATTTTAGTAGTATATCCCTAGTACTGATGTATATCTGATTGTGTGAGATGGTAGTTTAGAGTATATATTAAACATACTGTCCCTTATATCATTGTAAATATTTTGCTACAAAATAAAAATACCAGGATAAACGTAAGATGGACATACTTTTCCTCCGAGTCACGTGTGACAACACTACGCCTTATGCACTCATTTATCGATCATGTTCCAATAAAATTACAAAAAAGGATATCCTAAGTAAAACATTTTGAAGTTTCATGGTCATAGGAATCATGATTTCGTCCGAATAGAAATCACATGCGTTCTTTTCAATTCTTTAGTGTATTTAATCTTGGAAAAAATTCTAGCATGGCAGATATTTGTTTGAATTATTTATAAGTGTATAGTTACATTATTGTTATTTTCCTATTATTACTTTTTGTGCGAGATGTACGTGGTCCCGCAGTGTCGTCGTTGCTAGTGTCACATTTTTCCACGTCTGAATGATCATAGTCAGTATCTCTCGAAAAATCTGTTTTGTGAGTTGATAGGTGTTTTCCCAAAATAATCCGAGTAGAGGGATTTCAGATCCCATAAATGACAAAAAAATGAATACAAAAAATTTGGTATCAGCCAGGATACGAACTCCACCTGTTTGAATGTGAGGCCACTGCATTATCCACTGAGCTATTCTCTGAGCAATACTTAAGCGTGCTAATTAATCAATAAAACACAATATTTAAATCTAAAAATCTTTTTTTATTCCATGATAACGTAGCATATTTTGGACATATATTATTTTATTGCTTACATATTCTAAATGAATTATAGAAAAATATTCTTAATGAATTATGATAAAGAGTATTAATTTAACTTGCGACTGATATGATTATTCTTACATCAACATAAATTTAGATCTGCCTGCAATTGGTAAACTCCTACAATAGACCTAGATCTAATTAAGATCAAACCAACGTAAATTTACTCTATATAAAGACACCGATGTTTGTTGCCGATTTATTTATTCTTCTGTATTTCAAAGCATACTTAAAGTACTGTAGATTCTACAGTACTGTAAACGTCAGAGTTAAATTACTAACAGTAAATATTTATCAATTCGATGCACTGCATGATATGTTTTTGTTGTTGTTTTTCATAAATTATAGATCTACATTAAAGACACTTACTTCTTACTCCTCCATCATATAAACTTTCCTCTGAATTCTAACGATAAACAATAACACACGATAAAAAGCATTTCCGTGTTTACATGTGTATAGGCAATAAGAGTGACGTCATTTAAATCGCTGTAGTGCACATTTATTGTAGGTGCACAGTATAATTCTATCTTGTTTAACAGTTTACACATTTCAAAAGCTAGCAGATAAAAATTTTATTTTAAAGTAAAGATATTTATCTTAACCGTTACAATTCACCCGACATCTTTGAAGTCATGCTCTTTTTCATTTAAAGTATAAATTGACCCGGATGTTGGAAAATTATGGTCTCTTGTGCACACAATATTAAGGCGGCACTACCGTTCACAACAGAATGATCAATACATTACACTATTTATCGGTATATTTAACAGGTTGCGACTGCAGATATGTGTTTATACCTCGGCATAAGATGTGAAAAAAAACAGTTACGGAGTTCTTTATAATTGCTGTTACGTTTTGTTCACAGTCCCAAGAAAATCTTCCTTTAGAAATCATGATTATTTCAGAAAAAGTATATGCGAATGTTTATCAAGTTTGTCTCCCAATTAAAAGTGATCGTTTTATTATTTTGCAGACAAATGACAGTTCATTAATCAACCTTTTATTTAATATTATGATTCAGAATTTAAACTCCGTGCCTTCCTTCTGTTTTTATACAAAAAAGTTTTCCGTGTTTTATACATGCCCCTGATCAAAACCGAAAGTAGGTTGTTAAGGAAGTATTGATTCAAATGATTGTATACAAATGAAAAACGGTACTCTGTTATTGTATGTCAAATTCATAAGATAAATCGTATATTTTGTTTGTTTAAAGATAGACTGGTCGACAGTGTTTATTGTGTGATACCGTTAATACAATGGATGGTTCTGACGATGTCTGTGAAATCTTCTGTGAGCCTTGTGAAAAAGCTAAACAAAAAACAATAGCAGAAGGGTTTTGTGTTGACTGTTCTGAATACTTATGCGGACAGTGTTTTAATCATCACAAGCGTTTTAAACAATTTGAGCACCATGTTCTACAAGATAAAAACAGCATGCCTTTGGATCCAAAACATACTGTATCGAAATATGTCTGTACATCAAAGTGTCAAGTTCACGCGGATGAAGTTATAAAATATATTTGTAAGGCCTGTGATAAGATCGGATGTAACGTTTGCATGACGATAGACCATCGATCATGTGATGGTGTCAGGTATATCCCGGACGAAGTGAAGAAATCTGATACATCTGTAGAAATACAAGAATTTGCGAAAATGATAGATGTAATGCATGTAGAGCAGCAAGAATTGTATGACAAGATAGTTCAAAATTTTCAAGCGTCTGATAAAATGAACGAAACAGCCGGTAAGGACCTTGAGCGACAAAAAGATCAAATTGTCACATTCTTCGAAAGTCTTTACGATAACATTAAAACCGAAATTGTCAGAAAGCAGACCTCAGATGACAAAGATTTTAAAACGTTGTTGAAAAAAGCCAGTGCTATGCAAACAGATCTGAAAAATCGGAAAGCGAGACTAAATATTTTAGGAAAAGGTCAACAAATGTGCGAAGCGTTTATTTTCATGAAATGCACGCAAGCAGCAATGGGAAAGATGTCAAGTGACATGATGGAACTTTCAGAAAATGGAACGAAAAAACCAGCGAGATACGAGCCAACTTTAGATGTCGAAGAACTGAAAGAAGATATCAAATGTTTAGGGCGTTTGCTAACTGGAGAGCCAGACCAGATAACACAAAGTAAGATAAATAAGTAACCACAAATAAGGGCGTCATTTTACACATAAAAATTGTATTTTGCCACTGTTCATTCAGTCGATTACTTCAGTTGAAATGAAAAGACTGTCATGTTTGAAAACTATTTATTCCAATGCAATTACATAATTATCGTTCATGCATCATGGAAAAATAATAAAAATGTAAGGGCTTACCTATAACACTTCTTTTAGTGCTTTGATTATCAAAGACACGTATAAAAATGTCATTAATGAATTCGATAATTATGTCATTTGTTCCAGTCAAGTCGGTAAAGAAAAAGATGGAGAAAGAACTCGATATGATACGCCGTGAAAAAGAGGATCTGAAGGACGTTCTAGATAGGACGAATGCAATAGCTGAAGGCCTTAAGAAAAATGTAACTGAGTTACAGACACGTGTACAAAAGGTTAGTTTTATCTCTTTATTGTTGATGAGGTAAACTAACGGACATTTGTTTGAATACATTAATCAATCCGTTATCCTGGTTACATGGCTGATCGGGCCTGTAAGTGTTTATACTTTATTTGAGTCTGTGCTGTGAAGTATAATTTGTAGATTATGCGGCAAAGTGTTAACATAATTCTTAAAAAACACCAAAACACACACAAAAAACAACAAACAAACAAACATGCACACATAGGTTTATAATTCAACTTTAGTCAAGATTTCAAAGTCCCTGTATATAAAATACTTTAAGCTATTTTCGATGAAATAAAATCGTACCGATGTGTCTATTTTTGTTGTTGTTTGTTTTTGTTTTCGAAGGGTTGCCAATATCTTAAAGGTGTCATTTATCTTTATTTGCCATATACGAGGGTTGTCCCACAAAGTCATGGATAATCCATGTAAAAAAATAACATCCAAGTCTACATAACTTTGAACAAGTATATGTCTTTTAATTGACAATAAGAAATATAATTTCATGAAAATTAGATACTTTAATTTAAAAGCATTAATATTTTTAATACAGACCTGAAGTGTTCGTATGCCGCGTATGCCGAATAATAGAAATTTTACAAACCTCACATATTATCTAGAATGTCATTTAATAAATATATACCTAATTAGTTTGGCAATACAAGTTCATTGCTTTAATTATTTATGAAGAAACTTTATATATCTTTTAAGGAAGAACAAAACAACAAACGTCTGAAAACCGAGAAAGAAAATATAAAACTGGACTATGAAAGCAGGTATTGCTTAATTTTTACATGAAATATTCATATGATCATTTACGTTATTTGACCAATGTGAGCACGTGGTTCGTCCAACATAAAACAATTTGTTCCTTTGAACGATAAAAGTTTATCTTATAGTCATTTGCACAAATGTTTGCATATTCATACTATGTTTATTAATTCTGTCAGATAAAAGTTTCTCCTTTGTTCTTATTTGAACAAAATCTGGACAGAACATATAATACCAATATTTGATTATTATTGACTGACGTCTTTCGAATTTTGGAGAAACATACATTGGGTTGTCATCTAACTTCTAATAGAGTGAGGGAGGTAAACGGTCTTAAAATGTATTTTGTTTTACTTTTGCTAATACAGCCTTTATTTATTGACTGATGTTTTCGTATTTTGGAGTGAAATATTTTGGGTAGTACTATAACTTTGAACGGGAAAGTGGTCACTTGAGTAAAAACCAAGGTGAATGATGACAAGATCTTATATTTTTGCTAATGTAGCCTTTATGTTCCAACTGATGTCTTTCATAGTTTGGTTTTATCAGTTTTGTACATAAAACAACATAAGATTGATGTTTGTGTGAGTATTGATGTTATAAATTCAAAGGGAGGTAATAAAAATATTTGTATTTTTAGGCATACTATCTTGTTTTTCTTGAATTTCTGGTATAATGTTATTTGTATGTTTCTTTGAAATTTTATCATTAAAAATTGTTGGTGTAATCAAGGGCAAGACTGGTGACATGTCTAGGGTCAGAAAAGAAAAAAAGACTGTAGCATAGTTAAATGTATCTCTAAGTATTCGTGTGACAAGAGCATGATTCTTTTGCATGTATCAATATAGATCTTATTATGTTTAACTGAAATAAAACATGTTCCGGACAAATGTAATAATTTGATCTCCTCTATATTTTCTTTTGACTTTCAATTTTGATTATTTAAAAAACGTGCATTTCGGCGTAAATTGTCTAACCTATTCGGTGCTCATGTTTATAAACAAGACTGTAAATTGTGTAAATATATTTACCTAAACCGAAAGTTTTAATTTCCTTTTCTTTTGATGAATATTTTTTATCATTATTGTTTTGTTTCAGACTACGTGCAAACGACGAGTAAGTATATAAATATTTATTTCAATGTTTTACTTATTTTACATCATATATGTATAGAATTGTTACATAAAATGGAAACGGATTAGAACAAAAGAAAACCTAAATAGTTCCTAACCCTAAGTATATCAGATACTGCTTATAAAGACACTGTTATATGCCTATTACAAAAGGATGAAATGCACTTTTAAACGATATATTTATTGGTTTATTGTTTTAGTTCGTAAAGAGAAAAATTAACTTTTTAGTTACTTTAACACTTCGGGTTATCCGTGGGTGAGTGGCTAGGTTATAACCTATCATCATTTCCTTTTTCATTAACCTGTGGGTTCATTTGCTTGTTTTTTATCATTGATTACTTAGAAGTAAAAACAAGTGCTTTGCAATAAACATGAATGACGACTTTTTACCATTTAAAAGAAATAATACTTAGTTCTTTATTGTTATTTTGCTTTCGATATAAAGTATAATAATTATCATGATTCATTTGTTTTAGACTCCGCAAAAAAGATCAAGAAGAGTAAGTTCATAAGATAATAATACTAATGACGTTCAATTACTGGGGTATACACATCACATATTACGGATTGTCGATGATGTATATTGATTTGTTTATCTTTTTAATTTGCTAATAAAAAACACAAAGAAATATTTTACGTGGTTATATATAATATAATCTGTTTTGTGTTAGATGAGTAAACATTGAAGCAAATCTGAAACTGTAAATGCACATTTATATCTCACCAAAGTTGTCATCATCAGACATTCTCTTGCACGTTGGTTCTACTTAGGTGTTCGTTCGTGCCTAAAATAATGCACGGATGGACAAATGAGCCTTTCCTTCAACGGTTAGACTGAAGAATCGCATACTGCCATCCACTGTATTGGTGCGTCTCCACCAATAAAGTGCCAGATAGTGGATTATATCATAATAAATATATCAAAATATGCTCTCCTTTATATGAATACCTTAAATGTCTCCACTGGTTGTTGTATAATTACACTTAACTTGTAAATGTCTTAAAACGTCTTCTCATTCAGAGTTTAGATATTTGGAATATAACATCAAGTTGTAGTCTTGTATGATTGTATCATTAATCATTAGCTAATTGTTTAAATTGACCCGCCCCAGGGTCACTAAATGTATGTAGACTTAAGTTAGAAATATTATAGAAATCTTCTTGTGCAAAATAACAACAAGATAGCGCTTAGATATTTTGTATGCACCATTGCCATATGAAACCTCTTACACAAATTGTATAAGTCTTGTAACTGGTCCCTAAAATAGACCCTGGAAATAATTGGTAACCTAGTTGTCATATATTAATATAGCACACATCTGTTTAAAAATCTTCTGCTCCAAAACTATAATGTCAAGAGCTTGTTTGATACAAATGATCATCTTGAGGATTATTTTAATCAAGGCATAGCAGTCACAACTGGCCTTAATCCCCGTGTTTCTTAGTTTTTAGGATCAGACAATCAATGTTCTTCAGTTTGTTATTACATTGACTTTTTCGATATATTTTTCATGAAATTTTCATCAAATTGCCACTCCCAGATGATCATTGGGCTACATAAATGTATATTAAATCTTCTTTTTGAAAGTATATGGATTAGAACAAAGATTTTAAGTTTGGCGTAAACAGACATGATCTATAGTTTTATGGGGTTTTTTTTTGGGATGTTGTCGCTTTTTAACCCAACCCAATGAATGCCTAACTGAATACTAACTTTTGAATTAAATATCTATGACCTTGTCTTATCTCAGATCGTTATAGTCTCCTGGTTATGGTTCAGATATACAATGTATTCAGATATGCAATATATGTTACATCACATTATTTTAGAGTTTATACGTATTTTTAACACAAATAAATTAAGAATAAACAAACAAAAACACAGGACAGTTATTCATAGTTCTCAAATTTACTGATGATAAAGTTATATTAACCATATGATGAATAATGATAATCATGTATGTTTTTGTTTCAGACTAAATAAAGTGACAGAAGAGTAAGTATAGTAGAAATTGCTTTAAGATTGAAATAAATATGTGTTACACTATAGAAATGTGTTAAATTGCTTATCAGATGTACGACATTACAAAAAATGAATATTGATTTATTAAAATAGCTTTAGTCAAAAGAAGGTCTAGGCCATATTTGTTAAGTATAAACAACCTCATTATAACGATAGTTGAATTTATTATTATTATTATTATCATTACTTATGGTCAATATAATCTATTTGTTTCAGTTTCCACACAAATGATATGTAAGTATACTAGATACCATTTTTGAGGTAATTTGACAAGAGTAGCACAGAAACTAATGTTCTATACATTTATTGATAGATTTATTGTTTATTAAACTTGTAGGTGAATAATAAATATTCTTGACCACAAGCCTAAAATTTCGTTATGAGATATATCTTTAAATTGTAATACATGGCTTAATAATGGTGACGTTTGAGTTAATTCCGAAATATTCCAATCATATTTGCTTGTTAAGTTTGAGCTTTGAACTTTATAAAGCTGCTTTCTGTACCGATTGAAACTTCTATAAGTTCTTGCAAGCACATATTTACATAGGTTAGATAAAGTCTTATGATCTTTGTTTCATTGTGTGCGTCCTGTAAACGTTGCCTTTGCCTTATTGATTTTTATTCTCGTCTTATACTGACTAAGTCGCATCAC